AAGTGCAAATAGAAAGACTCTGTTCCAGGCCCCGAGGCATAAACAGCTCTGTTGGAAAACTAAAAGCATAAAGGGTTGAGGACATGGCTCAAGCGGTAGAGCACCTGCAGAGCAAGCAAGATCCTGAGTTCAACTCCCAGTATGTCAAAAAGAAAAGAAAAAGAAAAAGAAAAAAAATACATTAGGGCATGGAAATCACCCAGAAATCAAAGAAATGAGGCCCTTAAGATGGTCTCTCCCTTAAGACATGATTTTCAAGCCATTCAGGAAGCATCAGACGTTCTGTTGTTCAACTTTTCATTTAAAGAAGCAATAGACACAACCATCCAAATGTGTTAAACTCCATATTTTAACACAGTTAAGTTAAACCATCAAACCAACTCCCTCTTGGCTTGGGCACACCTCAGAAAGTTTGAAACTGAATCAGAAAAAAACATCTGTCCTTGGTTCCTCTGGACTCACATACTTTATTCACTTCTCTAGACTTCACTTGCCTCACCTCACCTGCTCTTAGTCACTGCTTTTTTTGGTGGGGTTTGAACTCAGGGCCTTGCACTTGCAAAGCAGGCGCTCTACTGCTTGAGGCACACCTCCAATCCATTTCACTCTGGTTATTTTAGAGATGGGATCTCTCAAACTGTTTGCTTAGGTGGGCTTTGAACCTCGATCCTCCTGATCTCAGCCTCCCAAATAGCTAGGATTACAGGTGTGAGGTCCTGCTGGCCTTGAATTCTTGATCCTCCTGCCTCTGCCTCCTGGGTGAGGGAGACTTTTGGAGGGGAGGGTGCTGAAATTGAACCCAGGTCCTCAAGCACAATAAACATACTACTACTGAGCTACATCCCAGTCCAAGTTTGAAACCAGTCTGGGCAAATAGTTGAGACCCTATCTCGAAAAAATCCTTCACAAGAAAGGACTGGTGGAGTAGCTCAAGATGTAGGCCCTGAGTTAAAGCCCCAGTAACCAAAAAAAAAAAAAAAAAAAGCAAACCTACTTCTTCATAAATAAACCTATAGTAGTAAGTAAGCCTATAGAAAAAACAGGAATTTCAAAACTTTACAATATAAAAATGACACTAGCTGGGAGCCAGTGGCTCATGCCTACAATCCTAACTACTTGGGAGGCTGAGACTGGAAGGACTGCAGTTCAAGGCCAGCCCAGGCAAATAGTTCTTGAGAACTATTTGCAAAATAGACTGGAGGAGTGGCTCAAGTAGTAGAGCTGCTTTGCAAGTGCAAAGCCTGAGTTCAAACCCCAGTCCCACCAAAAAAAAAAAAAAGTTTGATTAGCGATTTAAGAAACTAAAGGTTATCATGATAGGCAATAAAAAGCCAGCTACAATTTTGCATTTTAAATTGACCCTGAAACAAATTGAATAAACCTGGTTTTTCAGCAGATGATTTGTTTAAAACATACCCAAACTGGATGTGGCAGTGCACACCTGTAATCCCTGTACTTGAGAGGCTGAGACAGCAGGATCGTGAGTTTAAGGCCAGCCTCAACTACATAGTGAGACCCTGTCCAAATAAATAAATCTAACATAACCAAAGACTCCAGTTGGGAAAGACCAAGTGATTGGATGTATTTCAATATAGAAAATGTTGCAATGTACTTACCAAATGTTACTCCATTCTACAGACCCCAGCTTTCTCACTCTGTTTACAATCCTTGGTGGCCATTATGTTCTGTCTTGGAGGGGAGCTATTATTTTCTAATATTGTTTTGTTCTGGTGACTGATGGGTTTTATGAAACCAGTTCAGGGGTTCCATGAGGACTAGGCCAGGCTCAAGCCACCGGGCTCTGCCTCTCTTTAAGTGTCTGGTCTGCTTCATTTTCCCAAATCTTTCCCATGAGGCTAGATTCAAGGCTGCCAGAGGAGGAAGGGCTCCATCCTCCTCTCCTGAAAAGAAACTGTCTTCCCATTCCAGTTAGAAAGATCCAGAGAGGACGATAATTGGCTGAGACAGAGGCACATTCCAGTCCCTTGGAAGATGGGTGAGGGGGTCGTGTAAGAACTGGGACATCAGATGTGGGCAGGATCGTGGGCAGATGGAGGCCTGGCACCACAGTGAGAGGAAGCTCCCATTTGTGGCCTTGAGACAGGCTGTGGCCTATGCATTGGTCCTACAGGATTTCCAGATTCTAGAGTGATGGCAGCCATTCACCTTAAAGCTCTGGAGGACCAGGGATTGGTTCACTGGACAATTACATTAGCCAGCCAGACTTGCACTGTTTTCTTTTTCTCTGGTGCTGTGGGGACAGGGCCCACGGCCTGGGCATGCTGACGCCCATGCTGTCCCACTGAGCTGCACCTGTGCCTCGTCTACACTATGAGTTAAAACAGTTTCATTGGCACTGAAAAGGCGACTATAATATCAGCACACTTCTAAGGGAGCAGAATGGTCCCATCACAAACAGCAGAATAACCTGACGGACCAACCCATACTTAGCTACCACTGGAGGCAAGCTGTCTTGTTGAAGGTCACGGCAGATGAGGAAGTGGATTTGCTGCAGTATACTTTACACTGAAGACCAGTGTTGCAACAAATAAATACAGTCCACAGACCAGTGTTTGATATTTGGCTTTACTTTATAAAAATACACAACTTAAATACATATGACACTCTGTATACAAGACATGAAAGAACTGGAGATTGAACATTTTCAGTTATTTCAACAGAAAGCAAACATGTGAATTACCTTGTGAAAGCAAAGGGCTTATTGACAGACTTGACACTCACAGTCAGAGGGGAAGAGTGAGGAGCAACTGGTGCAGGACATAGACCCAAACCACCCAACTTCCCAACTAAAGTCCTCTCACTCACAGGGCCTTTGCTGCACGGCTTAACTTCGCCCTGCTTGTTAGATCCATCTCACTTACCTGCAGCACAAGAGAAAGCTTTGTCATCCCTGGAAATGGTTAACGGAGAAATCAATGTCCAAGCAGCAGTAACTATGTTCTAGCATTGTGCTCAGTAGCAGGTGTGAGATTCAAGCATTGCTCTTCACCTCGCAAAGTGTGTGGTAGAAGTGGGTCAGCTCTAAACCGCAGCTAAATTCATTTTCAAAAATTCCACAAAAGTGATGTCAGCCTTAGGGTGAGCTCTGTGGGGTGCAGGGGCAAAGGAAAGGAAGTGCTTTTTTGGGCCTACTGAGTGTGCTGTACAAGGGGCACTGGCACTGTCAAAGGCAATATGCACACAGCTCCCCCATTTCTACCCCCCTCTCCCTGGTGACTGTCATCACTCTGTGAGGCGACATTCCAGACACTTAGCTGCCTTATCTATGGCTCAGTTAGTTAAGAGTGAATTAGGTACCAGTTTACAGCATAAAGAAGTATTTACCACTTGAGAATTCAAATATTTACCATTAGAGTAAGTTTCCTGAGGTAAATATAGGACTTAAAGAAAGGGGTGCAATCTAAGAATTATAGTCACTTGTCCTGTGTAGCAACATAAGGCCCCACATCTGGACTTTTGAATTAACAGGCCAGTAAAACTGAGGACACATTTATAAGGAGAAATACAATGAGAGTAGTGAAGTAGAAGGCCTACAGAAGGCGAACAAAGAAACAAAAGAAGTGTTCTAAAGTGCTCAGGTGGGCTGTAACATGACTTTGAAATGCCTCTGGGGACTTCCAGCAAGTTTGGAAAGTGCTTCTTCTTGGTGATTCAGATGTGGAAGACATGGCTTTTCATTAATAATAGCTGTTCAGACTTTTTGTTCTTTTTTGAAAAACAAGACTACTTAATAAAGACTTTTAGCCATTAAAATCATTCTGCTAGTTATGACTCTCACTGATGTACTTCGAAATTCTGACTGGCTGAAGAAGTTTTAATAAGCTTAACTGCACAGCACACCTGCACCAAGAATTTAAATTAGTGCACAGAAGTCTGTGAGAAATTAGTACCGAGAATACTTTTATTCACATGTCATGCTTTGCCATTGCTTAATGTTCTATTGATGGATTATGGGAATCCGAAAAATTCTAGGACCCTGAGGCTTAATTTTCTCATTTTATCCTTATTAAATAAATGAATCTGCATAGGGCTGTTCTGAATGTCAACAAAGGTGTTGGAACCAAGACCAAGACCCAAGACCTAAGAACCAAGCCCAGGTTGCACTTCAACAGTCACTGTAGAGGATGTGAATGGAGGCTCTAGAACATTCTTTCTGCTGCAACTGCTCATCTACACAATGTAGCTGACAGAGGTAGCTGCCTGTTTAATCACCATGGTGAGAGCCGGCACCAGCTACTCTATGGGGCCACATCCTCAGTGAGCTGTCCAGTTGACTTGGGCAGATAGTACTGTGCACGAACACTCATTCAGTCACAGGACTCCTACAATCTGTTGTAAGTGTGGACCCATATAGGATTGTTTTAGGTATGCAGAAGACCTTAAGCAAAGCTCAGGCCCAGAGGAAGATCTCACAAGAAATCACGGACCAGATCTCCCAGAAGAAAACTCACACAGTGGGACAACACTCTGGTTTCTGATGACAAGTGCGGCCACACAATGTGAACTGCTTGCAGAGAAGTGAAGAATCCAGATGACTGCAGCATTTGGCACTGTACAGCTAATAAAGTAGATGTTGTTTGGCAATCAATACGGGATAGCTGTTTAAAATTCACAGAAGAGGAATGTCTTACAGACTTCAGAGCTCCAATTAGTACAGGCTGCAGCTAAAAATGGTGCAACGAGCCAAGTGACGAGACTGTAAGAAACACCAGTCCCCATTCCTGACCTACATCCATCCCTGTACACCAAGGAGACTGTGGCATGAGAATGTAACTCTCTATGTGAAATTTGTTTTCATAATCTATGGTTTAAAAACACTGCAATTCAGAAATTTGAAGCCCAAGCAAATATTAGAGATTCTTTCCCACCTGGGACTGAGATGTCCCCTCATTGCACACAGAGGTCCTAAACTTGTCTCTGGTCATCCAGGCCCAGGGTAAGGCTTGCGAGGGAGGATGGAAGAGGCTGTGGTTTGGAGCCAGGGATTCAAAAAGGGAGACCTGATGGCAGATGTGGGGGCACAAGAAGAGAAGAAACAGAGTAACACTGGTAGGAAGCCAGGAAGAGGCCAGCTTGTTGAGGAGACCTGCCTCTCCCCACTGCCTGTAGGAATGATGAGAATAAGGAAAGGGACAGGCCTCACACTGGGACTCTCCTAGTGTCCCCAAAATGCCTGATCTCAGCCGCCTCTCTCTGGGCACATGCATGAATATGCGTATACACGTGCTTCTGTCCTGGAGCCTGGGTCCTCATTCCTAGGGGTACAGTGCTCCTGGCTACCACCAGCAACCATTTCTACAGCAGGGCAAAGGCTTCAGATCAAGGAGAGGAAGGAAGAACCCCAGCCAGGGCGCCTCCATCTGTGGCTGCTGTGGCTTGTCTCCCCCTGGTGGTTGGAGAAGGGAACAGAGTGAATGTCAGAAAGGACTGCTCACTTCACACATTCCACAGGGCTGCCCAGAGTTCGCTAATTACAGATTTGGTTTTGTTTGTCTGGTTTTCTTTCTTTCTTTTTTTTTTTTTTGCAACAGGGTCTGTACTAGCCCAGGCTGGACTGGAACTCACTATGCAGCCTACGCTGGCCTCAAACTCATGATTCTCCTGTTTCAGTCTCCCAAGTACTGGAATTACAGGCACATATCACTGTGCTCATCCACTTATAGACTGATGGCTAAAATGCCACCAAAGGAGCTCAACTTGCTTGTAAGGTCACATCAAGCTTCCTGGGCTTGGACATTGTCTGCTTGTTTTACCTGTTTTCTCTCCCTCTGCTTTTGTCTCCTTCTATGACCATGAATGGAAAAAGGAAAAGGAAAAGAAAAGTCTTGCTCCTCCTCCATCCCTCCAGAAACCTCCGGACTTTCCCAAGCAAAGTGCCTACAGTAAGCTACAATCACTGAGCCTATAAATGGATGAGAAACCCTCGGATTATCTGGCAATAAGAAACAAAGTGCAGTGCATAAGTGATACATGGCTCTCTTCATTTCATAGGAATGCAGGCCATCCTCCCATAAACTGCCTACGAGATGCTAACAGGCACCTGCAATATCGATTTACAAGACAGCACGAGTGAACAGAGCAGTGAGATTCTGTGAAGAGGAAATCCACGTTGGTTATGGCCCCTCAAGGGGAGGGCTGCCTGCGCTAAAGGCTTGTCATTGCCTCAGCCTCCTACTTGATGTTCTTCAGGAGGGCTGTCCGGGCATTCACCACTGCTTTGAAGGCATCTTCACTCCCAGGCGCTACGCATTTGTCAGGGTGCAGCAGCACAGCAAGTTTCCGATAGGCTTTGTTGACTTCTTCCCTGTGAAAAGCAGCAAGCTCTGTGTTAGTAACAGGGTGGGCCCTAGGCCCCACCTTCCAGCTGTTTGGACACACATAGTATTTCTTACAGTAAGCATATTCCAAGTAACTATTGCCTTTTCTCAAAGGCAGGACTAAAATAACAAAACCAGCCAACCAAATAAATAGTAGGTTATGTACAAGTGGAAAAATACAATGCAAAATGAGTATGTGAACTTGAAAACAGTAAAAGTCACCAGATGAAAACAGGCAGTACTGCACCTATTGGACGCTGGGGAAGAGGGCCTGGGGCACCAGGGAAGAAGCCCTGAGAAGCCTCCCCAAGAATGGGGGCTTGGGACTAGCACAGCGCAGGATTCAGTGTCAAGGAGAGAACTGACAGGCCAGGAGCAGAGGGTGGATGCTCATGGGGGATAGTTCCACGAGGAAAACACTTGTCCAGGGAGGAGGGGACAGGCAAGGAATGAACTCCAAAGCAAAACAATAACATAGTGGTGTTTCATGACAAGTGGTGCTGGGAAAGCTGTTTCTCAAAGGTGGGAAGACAGGCAGGCAGTCCTTAGAGTAACCCAGGCAAAGTATGAGTTTAGATGGTGGTGTCTATGGCTCAGAGCAGACAAGGAAAGATAAGAGGCCATAGAAAGCTAGAATCAGCAGAAGCAGACGATGAGCTGAAATGTTCAGGTGGAGAAGAGAACAGAGAAGGGCTGAGATGACTTCCAGGTACTTAGGAAGACAGGGCCTGGGAGACTATAGTCCCTGTACCACCCCCGGTTCTTCAACATCCTTGGGCTCCTAGAGGGTTCTAAGTGCCCAGCACTGCTGGGGTCAGATTGAGCTGTCTCCACCAGATGGTTTTACCTCCCACCCTCCTTTTGTAACCCTAGTCCTCGCTATCCTGTATACTTGGACATGGTACTGGGCTCACGCCCTAGCCTCTCTCCTGCATTTCTCTCAGAAGGGTTTCTAATCTCTGTCCAAATCACTAAGATGCTCTTTCATACCTGGGAGGTGACAGAAACTTTTGTGTCAACCTGGAGAGACTGAGGTCTTTGGGTCATGAGAACAGTTCCTGTCTTGGCATACACTCTGGGGCTTTTCCTGCTCCTAGAAGAGTCCTTCTGAATTTTCTTGTTTTACCTTGTATGTAGCTATTTTTTTTTTAACATATGTAATTTTTTCTTTCCATTTTTTTTTTTTGAGAGAGGCTGGTCTTGAACTCATGATCCTTTTACCTCAGCCTCCCAAGGGCTGAGATTACAGGTGTGCACACTGCTCCTGACTTTTTGAAGAAATGTGCCTGGCCAAATTTCTCCTTGAGACAGCTACAGCATCCCCTCTCTTCTCCCTAGAGGAGCCCTGCCTTTGCACTAAGAGTGCCCTTTCAAGATTTCCAGGTAAGGGACAGACTCTCAAGGGGAGCAACAAGACTGATTCAGGTGTACAACCAATATATCATTTCTACTGAAGAATAGTAAATACAGTTGTCACTGAACAAATATCAAGATTCTCTGTAACTTCAGAAAAAGTTCTAAGATTTTTCCCAAAAGTGCTTGATATTAGTTGGTAGACACAGTGGAACAAAAGTAAAGGAAGTACATGGGCTTTTTGTTGTTGTTGTTGTTTTGTTTGGTACTGGAGGTTGAACTCAGGGCCCTGTGATTGTTAGGCAAGTGCTCTACCACTTGAACCATGATCCCAGCACTTTCTGCTTTAGTTATTTTTCAAATATGGGCTAATATTTTTTGCCCAGGCCAGCCTAGGACCTCAATCCTTTTACGTATGTCCCTGTGCAGCTGGGGTTATAGATACGTACCACTACACCCAGCATTTTTTGAGATGGAGTCTTACTAACTTTTTGTCAGGGTTGGCCTTGAATCCAAGTAACTTATATTATAGACATGAGCCACTTTGCCCAGCCTAGAAGTACACAGCTATATGGTTAAAGATATGGAAATCACAGAGGTCCTGAAGCTCTAGATCTCAATTGACCAAAGTGAGTAAGTAAGGAGCCCAGATTTTACTTTTCCTTAGTAACTACTACTCCAAGTTCATTAATAAGTAGACAAAGAAATAGGTTTTTAACATCACAGCCAATATTCCTTGGAGATGACATGGAAGAACTTAGAATGAGACTATGCAGATCTAAAAGGTCATTTAAAAGATACCAGTAAGCTCTGTGCTTTGTACGTGATGCAATTTGAACTCCTTCCCAAGTTCCAAGTGTTCTCAATACACCTGGCAAGTTAAGGTGACCAACAACAGTCTTCTCTTTCCCTTTCCCTTTCCTCCTGGACTTGAAGCTATGCTATGGGACCAAAACAGAGAAGAGATGCTTAATGTTTTTAGTGCTGGCAAGACAACTTCAACACACAGTGTCTTTTTTTGTGGGACCTGAAATGAAAAAGTAGGAAGGGGAGAAGTGGGGAGGAGAGCTATGATGCAAAGTAAGTCTCCATTAGCAATGGTAATACATTATTAAGAGTTATATTGCCAGGCGCAAGTGGCTCACACCTGTAATCCCAGCTACTCAGGAGGCAGAGATCAGGAGGATCTCGGTTTGAAGCCAGGCCAGGCAAATAGTTCTGAGAGACCCTATCTTAAAAAAGCCCTTCACAAAAGAAGGCTGGTAGAGTAGCTCAAGGTGTAAGCCCTGAGTTCAAGCCCCAGTACCACAAAAGAAAAAAAAGTTATATTACTATACTCAGTAATCATTTGTTTTTGCATAAGCAATGAAAAATAGTGATTGGACCTCTTTTTCTACCAGAATAATAGTTTCTTCTTTTATTTTTGAGACAGAGTATCACTATATAGCCCAGGCTGGAGTAGAACTTGTGATCCTCCTCCCTCAGTCTCCTGGCTGCTGGGATTATAGCTATGTGCACCATGCCTGGCTCTTTCTGAATAGTTCTTTTAGCTAAAATGGAATGACTTAACATGAGGACTGGGGCACGGCTCAAGAGGTAGAGTACCTGCCTAGCAAGTGCAAGGCCCTGAGTTCAAATCCCAGCAACATAAAAAAGAAAGAAAGAAAAAACAATAGAATAGAGTAAGTAACATAAATACCTTCAGATGAGGAACAGGTAGGATTTTTGAGAAAGACAAAGACAGGCAGACGCTACTGCTCTTGGGGACCTTGAACCTGCTTAAAAATCAACTGAATCCCAGTTTTCCCATCTACACAAAGAAACTTTTAGACAAGTTGATTGCTAACACTCTTTCTTCCTCAACAATTCCATGACTTAAGAATTCTCTTCTGTAAGCTTTTTACAGTTACATCAGCTCTGAGGTTCTTGCTCAAAAGCAGAGCAAAGCACTCTGTGAAGTGTTTGCTCAGACCCAAGGCCCAGTTCCCTCAGCGGACTACTGTGCTGCGGTTTTTGCTTCTTGGTGTTCGGTTAATTCAGTACGGCAGTCACTAAGGAATCTGATTCCCGCGCCCATGGCGTGCTTACCTGGAGGCACCGGGCTTGACGCCCAGCATGTCCCAGCTGTCCTTGCTGCTGCGAATCCTGCGAATGGTGTCTGCTTGCTCCCTGGTGAAACTAGTGCTGCTGTTCACAGTTGGCCGCTTCCCGCCATTTTCACACAAATCGACTATGGACACATAAAAGGTCTGCAGGAGGAAGGCACATCCTGGAGTAGAACTCATTTTGTGAGAATGGGAATTCTTTTCAAGCATCAACTCAATAACCTTTAACATATTCTAATAACCCTGAAAAGTCACAAGTAAAGCAGGCTGGCAGAGTGGCTCAAGTGGTGCAGTCCCTGCCTAGCAAGTGTGAGGCCCTGAGTTCAAGCCCTAGCACCACCAAAAAAAAAAAAGGAAACTCACAAGTAAAGCAAATAGATAAATAGGTACTTTGTTTGGCAGTACCGGGGCTTGAACTCAGGGCCTCGCACATGCTAGTCAGGTGCTCTACCATTTGAGCCATACCTGTAGCCCTTTTCTTCCCTTTTATACTATTTAAATATGTACATATTCACCGGTCGCTGGTGGCTGATGCCCGTAGTGTTCTTATATTCTCGTTAGCCCTTTTAAAACAAAACAAAACAAAAAAACAGATGAATTCATCCATTAGTTACACCCAAAAGGTCAGAAGCCACCTACAAGGGGTCACAATTCACAGATGTCTGCAGTGGTATGTATAAGTAATGTTTCCTTTGTAGCCTGTGCATTAACCTGAAATGTAGGTACTGATACACAGATTTCTGAGGGCACAGGGATTCATTCATGACACACTGGTTTAGAAGACAAGCCGTGGTATGATGAATAGAACAGTGGGGGTGAAGTCAAAGCTGGTTTAAATTTCATGTCTGAGTTCTAGCCACAACAGACTAATGAGTGCTGGAGCAGCTCTCCTGCCACAAATTACTATCAAATGACAAATACATATGGCAACTAGACTACCAGCTGAGAGGTAAGCACCTCGATCACCAGGTTCTCCACCTAGGGCCATGACCCCACCGTGTTGGAGACACAAAGTCCCATGAGAGGCAAAGGTAGAGATGACAGTTTTGAGACTGCTGAGGTGGCTACAATCTGCAGAGTTGGGCCCTAAGTCCATGTGGGGGTCCCATGAGTGTGTAGCTGAGGGCTAGGTTATACTTATAAAGGGTGAGATCACCTGAAGCTTACCAGACAACAGCTGCTCTCAGTTGAGAACAAAACCAAAACACAGGGGGTCTAGCAGTACTAGGGGAAGAGCCATCCTGGGGACACCTGAATTTCACCTTAGTGCCAAATTCATCATCTAGCTGAGGCACTACAGAAAGGCTGTGCCTTAACACTTAGGATTCATCCTTACAAAACCCAAAGCCAAGAACTGACAAGATCTGCAAGTGAGAATTTGGGAGCAGAGTCCTACCAAAAAGAAGGGCTTGGGAAACATTTTGGACTTCCTTCACATCCTTGCTATTAAATCAATGCACACACACACACGCCTACACAAGTTCATTGTAATCTGCCAGTAACTGAATTGTCTCCTGAAATAAGAATCAACATTCTGTTTACAAAGATTTTAAAAAACTAGCATCTCTGCAAGGTATTATCCATAGGTCTGGTGCTGAAAAGTTACTACTCATACAAAGGAACAAGAAAATGTCAGAAAAAGCATCAATAGTCAATAGTCAGGAAAAAAAAAGAAGTCAATTGGAACTGAACACAAGAAGGTTCAAATTTTAGACTTAGTAGAGAAAGACTTTAAAATGGCTATTATAATATTTAAAAGAGAGAATGGAAAATATGCTCAAAGAATCAAAGGAAAATATACTCTTCTTTTTATTTTTTGAGACAGGATCTTACTATGTATCTCAGGCTGCCTTGATTTTGCTCTGGTTATTTTGGAGATGACTCTCTTGAACTATTTGCTGGGGCTGGCTTTGAACTACAATCCTCCCGATCTCAGCCTCCCAAGTAGCTAGGATTACAGGTGTGAGCCATCGTGCCTGGCTAAAAATGTTCTTTTAATGAGTGAACAAATGGACAATTCCAACAGAAAATTGAGAATTATACAAAAAAACAAATGCAAATTCTAGAACTGAAACATTCTCTAAGTGGGTTTAACAGCATTGTTAATGAAGTTTAAGTCAAAACAACAGAGATTATACAATCTAAAAAAGAGAAAAAATGGAGGAGCTATAAACATAGCCTCATGGGCTAAGGGACAAAATTCAAATGGTCTAATATATATGTAATTGGAACCCAAGAAGGAAAAGAGAGTGAGAATGGAGCCAAAAGAAATTGAAGAAACAATGGTTAAAAAACAAAAAGAAAACCAAAGACAAACAACAACAAAAACTTCCCAAACTTGATGAAAAACACCTACCTACCAATCTTAGAAAATCTACAAATCCCAAATAGGATAACTATGAAGAGAACCACACGTTGGCTCATCAGAGTCCTACTGCCAAGAACCAAAGATAAAGATAAATTCTGAAAAGCAGCCAGAAGGGAAAAAAGACACGATATGTACAGTGAAACAGCAGTATGAATGGGTGCTTACATCTCATATACACAATGGAGGTCAGAAGAGAATGAAATTTCATATATGGAAGTGCTAACTACCCTGCTCTGATCACTATACATTGCATATGTGTAGCAGATTATTGCACTGTGACAAGTACAATAATAATGTAAGATAAGAAAACAAAGAAATTTAGTCTTGAGTAGCTATTACTTCTATCCTTAGACAAGTCACTTTACTACCCTTAGACATCCTCATATATAAAATGAGAATAATGGCTGCCATTTGTTTCAAGTCTCAAATGAGATGAAACATGAAACATCCCCAGAATTGCAGAATATTACTGAGTGGTTAAGTATCACCACCGCACAGATACAGGTACAGAATCACATAGGTCTATGTATTCGAATGAACAGAAAGTATGGCAAATCAACATCAACCTGACCTTGAAATAGAAGCTACTTTGCCCCATGCAGCTTGTCAGCCAAGGATGAAACCTGTCCTCTAGTAGGAGGGCTGACATCTTGTGAGAAGGAAATTCAGCATAGAAGATTAAGTACAATCCCACTCAATAATTATAAGCAACTCTTTTTAGTATAGCTACAGTATTTGCAATGCTAGAAATTCCCAAAATATCAGATACATTATTCATACCATCACTTCCAAATGTATCTGTAATTATGAGTTGACTTTAGAACTTATTGTTTTAAATACCGTTCTTCCCTCAAAATTATTCAAGATTAGTAGGATTTTAAGTCTATTCACATAAGCTGCCACATAAGCGTATCCTTCTTCCTGTTTGATTGACAAGGCCTTATTTTTATTTGTGACTGGCGGGATTCTGCAGTGACAGTGTCTCCTAATCTCTAACTGCACCCCTGTGGGCTACGATACAGGATTAATTTGATTCTGCACACAAATGTAACACTATTAACCAAAGGTGGTTTTGAAGAAAATTTTTGTCTCACTTAGCAGTACAATAACTTGTTGATCATCAGAATCACCCAGCGAGCTTTATCAAAATATAAATGCCTACGTTTCAAAAGAACATTAAGCTTCCAGTAGGTCTGCAGCCCAGAAATCCATATTTTGAATAATTTCCCCAGGTAATTCTGATGATCAGCCAGGTCCTTTGTACAACAGACAGCAGACAGATCTCTCTTTCTCTCTCTCTCTTCCCCTCTCTCTCTCTCTCTCTCTCTCTCTCTCTCTCACACACACACACACACAGAGTTTCTCTTTCTCTCTCTTTTTCTCCAGCTTCTTTAAAGAGAGTTTGTTCTAATGAGAAATTCCTGTTTTGCTTCTCATAATTTAAACTAAAAGTTGGCATGGCTAGTCTTGACATAAACCCTAAGACAACAAAATGCCTGGTTACCTGGAACATCTCATTGATTCCTTCTCCAGTTTGTGCTGAAGTTTCAAAATACAGGAACCCTTTGCTTTCGGCCCAAAGACGCCCTTCGCTTTCATCAATACAGCGGTGCTTGGTGCAGTCGATCTGAAATGGCAAGTAGGGGCAAAGAGAAGATTGCAGTGGTGTCCCACTGGCATGGACCCAATCAAGTCTTTGTCAATCCTCTATTGAGGCATAAACAATTGTTAATGAGCCCCAGCACTGGGTATAATAACCAGGACTAAAAAAGTCAAAAAAACAAAACAAAATTCCCAAACAAAAACCTAGCTGTCAAATGGTTTTTTTGTCTGAATTCCAAGGTACTTCCCACTTCCTCCCTTGGGATGGTGGCTGCTACCTCTGTGAAAGCTCCTTCATGACCTGCCAGACCCATGGGTGCATTTCACCTACCCTGCCCCTCTTTCCCCCAGGTCGGGGTGTGATCATTAGGCTCTATTGCTCCTGCTCAGTCCCCAATCTGCTTCCTCAAGTGGGGCATCAGAAAAAATATAAAAATCCCCATAGACCAGGCTGGGGTTTTTGGTTGTATTTTGGTTTTGCCTTATGAGTCCTATGTTAACGAATAACGAATTTTTCTTTTCTTTCTATTGGTTTCTAAAATCTCTTCTCTAGAAAGTGGTTACCTTGTTAGCACACACGACAAATATAATATTGTCCATGTTCCCATGAGGCCCAAGCTCCTGCTTCATTTCTGCCAGCCACGCATCAAGGGCGTCAAAGGAGTCTTTTTGCCCAACATCGTACACCAGCATCACACCCTGCGTGTCCTTGTAGAACTCATTTCGGACCTTTAGACAGAGAACAGATGCACAAGATGTCACCTCGGTGAGTTTATTATGAACATATCTTAACATCATTAACTTAGCAAGTGTGCTTTTTTATGTATTCAGAGTATCTGCTATTATATCTCAGTATCTACTGGTTTTTAGAGGACTTTTAATATAATCAAAGTAACATAATAAAAAAAATCTATTACTATAGAAAGACTTATAGTAGAAAACAAGGGCCTCCTGACCCAGCCTTTTCCACCTTCAGTTCCATCCTAACTGTTGTTCACAGACCTTAAAAGAACGCCAATCATGCAAAGATCTTTATAGGAATTAAAAAGAATAAGGCTGGGCTGGTGGAGGGGCTCAAGTAGTACAGCGTCTGCCAAGCAAGCTCAAGGCCCTGAATTCAAATCCAGTACTGCAAAAAAAAAAAAGAAAGAAAGAAAAAGAAAAAAAAAGATTAAGGCAAAAACAACACAAGTAATGGGTACAGCCAGGCAGGGCTCCCTGACACTTAGGGGTCCGTATACCACTTTCGAACTCCAAACTCAGAGCCTCCAATGGCAGACACAGGCTCTGGGGACAGACACATCTGGGCTCATGCTTACCCACTAGTTGCGTGCTCTTGGGCAAGTCACTTAGCCTCTCCCAGTTTCCTCATGATGACGACTCAGTGAGACAACGAAGGCAAAGCCCTGGCATGGAGTCTGCCAGCCATGATGCAAAAGTGATAAACCATGGGTATCAGCACTGTCTTTCTTCCTTACGTTCATTCATTACATGTCCCTCAGTGTTTGATCAGAAGGCAACTTGCCTTGGGGCATAGCTACAACTCTAAGCAGAGATGGCAAGAAGTACAGGCCACACTAAAGCGACAGAGGCACAGAGAAGTTGGGTGGGTGGGGATGGGGTTTCAGGCCAAAATTTCCAGAGGAACTCGAACACAGCCACAGTTACACATTCTTTAACAAGGTCCCAGCCTTCACTCAGACTCATGCCAGCTGTCTAGTAAGAAATGAAAGCCTCCCACACACATTGGGTATCGGTTTCTGAGCTAGAGAGACACACCTAAACCAACAGAATAAGGGCCTGTTAGATGACAGAAACCTAAGAAGCTATCCCCACAGTGAAAACCCACAAAAGCAGCAAGAATTTAAAATGATGACCAGTAGGTTCTCGCTTTCCCCTCGATGCTTAGTCCTAGCCTTCCCCAGAGCTGCCAAGGCTCACCCGCCTGTCCTGGAGCTTTTGCTGCCTTGACTCCTGGGCACAGCATTCCCTAGGTTCTTAAATTCTCTTTCATCAGCTCCTCTTCTCCTCATTGGTTCCACTCCAGCTCATCACCAAAGGCCCCCAAATCCTGTCTGGGTCCTCTTCCTTTCTTTCTGAATCCTTTCTCCCCCAATGCAAGGACTGAGGTAAATGCTGTGCTGACTTTCTGATAACACAGGAACCATCCACGAGCAATGCTGACTAGAAATGCTGATAGACCTAGCTGTGCAGGAGTAAAACTGTTCTACCTAGAGAGGAGCAGACTCACAAATAGCAGAAGGGTCCTGCTATTTCTTTGGAAAGAAATTCCTTCCTGTTTCTTTGGAAATAAGGCTGGAATCATGGTGTCAGTCCATGGATGGAAGCATCTGCGAAGGAGCAGTGTTGACCTGAGGTGTTTAGTTCTGTGCAGGATTAGCTCATGGAGCAGTAAGACCTGCCAGTGGAGATATTCACTCTTACTATCTGCACCACTCAAAACTGTGCTGTGTCTTATGTCACTGCAGTCCCAACCCACAAAGATTTTGCCCACCAGCCACCTCTCAGTTTAAATGCTGTGTTCTTCAACAGCACTTCCCGACCTCCCGGAGAAACTGGACCAGGATGTTAAGTGCCCCTGACTATTCTGCCACTGGTGTAACATATTTACACCCATGAGCTCAAGGACTATGTTTCCAGTGTCCAGCACAGAAGCTGGCATACAGATACCTGTGACTGAATGATGGCCACTGGTCAGAAACAATGCATAACCAGATCCTACCATGAGCAGGGGTCAGAACCACATGGACTCTCAGACATCCTCTAACTCCACTGAAAACTAAGATTTACACACACATTTCTGGTACTTAAAATCTAGGTCAAACTTGGGGTCAACTAGACCTCCATGCCTTTTTCACTGACAACAGACTTCTCATGGAACTGATTTAACCCACTTTAAGGCTTTACACTTAAAAGGAACTCATTTTACCTAAATATATGTGTACACGTGTAAGATGCTTATGCTGAGGAACACTGACTCCTTACTTGGGCCCAAGAATTAACTGAATTAACTAAAGGCGGGAAGCAGTTAGATGATTGTCACACCCCTTTTCCATAGAGATGGAAGGAATAAATTGACAGTGGGGAAAATGTAACCAGAACTACAAAACGAAAAACTTTTGATGTAGCCAGCTTGCCTGCTGGCCAGTTTACTCTGCTTGTTATTCAAACTGACATTTTTTCCCCTTTGCAGTGTCTATGTCTGCGTCTGTCTGTCTGTCTCTCTCTCTCTCTCTTCATGATGGGGAGATCAAGGTTAATACTCTTTACTCTCCAATTAAACTGGGCAGACTTCTCTCCCTTGCCTCTCTCTGACCACCAAGGAGTAAACCTGTCAACCAAGACATACAGCTTTGTAGATGTGGCACCAGTAAACTGGGAGAGCCTAGGCCAGCACCTATTGTGGGATATGTGTTTTGTCACGTACTCAAACTGAGTCCATGAACTCTTCTTTAAAAGGCAGACATTTAAAAATAAATAAACAAAAAGCAGACATTTTCTCTCAGAAGTGGAACAACAGGGCTCTGAGAGGTTGACTCTCCCTGTCCTCCTCTTCATCTGATAGATAATAAATCTTTCTTTCTTTTCCTCAAAACCTGCTCTCATACCTGAGAACTGGCACTGAGGCCAGGGCTGGCTTTCTAGTGACACATACACAAGATGAAAGACTATGCCATCATTAAAAGTTCTGTTTCCTTTGAATGGATGAAGTAGACAGGTATTTCTCTCTTCTCTGCTAAGAGCAAGCCAAAGTCCCTGAACATCACATGCGGGCATCTGTTTAAAATCTCTGAAATGTGGGGAGGAGGCAGCAGACAAACTAGGGGCCCTGGGTCCTGAGGAATGCCACGATGGTGAGTTCTCAGGGTTTTCTTTTGCTTCATGTATCCAAGACTTGGAAAAGAAGTACAACTCGAAAATGACAAGAGGTGCAAACAAGGAAGAGCCCCATCAAAAGCCTCCTGTGTCCAGCTAAAGGACCAGCAATGGGCAGTTAAGCAAGATAAAAAAACCTTAGTCAGTAACTATTCTACATCAGGCAAACACCTCAGTAATGACTGAGCAGAAGTTTTAGAACTAAGGAATATAACAATGGGAATGAGCAGCTCAGCGTGGGCTCGGCAGCCAGTGGAGGGATGGTAGGAAAAGTAGCAAACAAGAAGGTGGAACAGTAAAAATGAGAAAAAAAAATGAGTGAAAATAAGAGACTCAGGGACCTGCTGAACTAAAACAAAAGATCAGAACCCAGAAAGGAGAGGAAAAAAAGGGAGGGGCTGTTAGAGGTGCTTACACTGCTGAGAAGCACTAATTCCTTAGTTGGGCCCATGAATTAACTAAACACAGGAGAAAAGCTTGGCATCCCTGTGTGCATTTTGTTCCTGTTGTCCTCTGCTCTGAGCATTCTCTCCTGCAGTGACCTTGGAATCAAGGAAGGACAGGAATGGTCAATAACATCTTTATGACAAGAGACTGAAACTACCCGTAAGGAACAGGGGCGCCTTGCACGACAGACCATCCCTCCAAATGAGGACAATTGCCTAGGATGATGAGGCTGCACTCTGGAACAGAAGTAATCATGTTTTGGGAACCAGACTGCCTTCCTAAGTGATGACAACAATAATAATTTCTCCAGAATCCTCAAAGAACAAGGGCTGAGATAACGGTCAACCAGATCCCAATGGAACATACCCATGACTGGGACTGCTCAACTATGCATACCTTTTGTCCCCTGCCCTAATTCTTTGTCTATTTAAAGCTAAATCTGATGTCTGTACCCCACAGATGGCTAAAGATGGGCTGAGAGCTTACTTGCCTCTTCCCATGACATGTCCTAGATTGTGAATTAAATCTCCTTTCTCTGTCCTTTACCATTACTGTCTATTTGGCATACAGGGGTGAGTGGTCAGACCTGACATATGGAAGCCCAGGAATTTGGGCCTAGGGCCTAAAACTCCGGTTTCAGAGCTGAAACAGTACTTAAAGAAATGATGCCCAGCCCAGCATGGTGGGTGGAAAGCTGAGCCAAGAGGACCAAAAGCTCAAATTTGGAGTCTTTTCTCCCAAAAGGAAGGAGGTAAAATCCCAAAAGCCATAACCTATAGATTCAAGAAGCTGACAGCTAGCCAGGTATAGTGGTACACATCTGTAATCCCAGCATTCAGGAGGCTGAGTCAGGAGGATTGAGAGTTCCAGGCCAGCCTGGGCTTCACAGAGAGACCTGTCTGAAAAAACAAATAACAACAAAAATAAGCTGAAAAAACCCCAAACAAGATAAACCAAAGAAATCCATTGAACTGAGTAAAAATGAAAATATAACATCTCAACATTTGAGAGTACAGTTCAGACAGCATTGGACAGAAAATCTGCACTGAGTTCATATGTAGGAAAGGAAGAAAGTCTCACATCAATCATTGAGGCTCCCACCTGAAGAAGCCAAAACAAAATGAGTGTGATGGTTCACACCTATAATCCCAGCTACTGGGGAGGTGGAGGTAGGAGGATCATGGTCCAAGGATAGCCCAGGATAAAAAACAAAAAAATGTGAAATCCTATCTAAAAAACAAATTAAAAGCAAAAGGAATAGAGGTGTGGCTCCAGTGGAGTGCTTGCCTAGCAAGCTCAAGACTCTGAGTTCAATCCCCACTACCACCAAAAAAAAAAAAAGAACCCAAAATAAAGACCAAAATAAAGCCAAAGAAGTAGAAAGAAGGAAATAAGAAGGCTAAGAGCAAGAGTGAAATGGCCAAACCAGAAAAGAGCAAAGAGCCTCCTTAGGAAATGAGAGAACGACAGACAGCGGGACTCATCTGGGGACTACTTGAGTGACTGTGCACCAAGCTGGGCTGCTCTGTGAGTGGGAAGTCCAAATGTGACTAATTATCCTCTCAATTCCAGGTGGAGTTGTGATGGAAGGAGCAGAGGTCCTCTGAAGGTTGAAAAGGTAGCAAAGAAGTTTCCCATGCCTATTTCAGGCTCAGAAGGCAAGCCACAAACACGAACAAAGTTTACCCAGTTTTACACACGATTCAAGTACTGCTTGCTTTGTACAATTCCCCATCCCACCATCCCCATCTCCAAACTCACCGACAACACCAAATTTAAGGTTTTCTCACCTCGTAGAAGAAGGGATGTCCAGCCATATCAAAGATGTTGACTTTAATTTCTCGATCTCTGACTTGTACCCTGAAATATTCAAATGGAAACAATCCCAAAGAAGGCTGTGGTTTCTCCATTCCCATTAATATCACTCCTGTCATTTTTGAATTTTAAAGGATACATGTGTGAAATTTAAAAGAGGCTTTCTTCATGCTTCTTCCTGATTACAGAAATCTTTTTTGTTTTTGTGGTACTGGGACTTGAACGTGGGGCCTCACGATTGCCAAGCAGGTACTTTACCACATGAGCCACACCCCCAGACCCTTTGAGGTTAGTTATCTTTTAGATAGGGTCTTGCATTCCTGCCCAAGCAGATCTCAGATGGTTGTCCTTCTACATATGCCTCTCACACACATACATAGTTATATACACAGTTAGGACTACAGGCACACTCCACCACCAATATCTTCTTTGTTGAGATGAGGGTTCTCCCTAACTTTTTCTTGTCCTGGCTGGCCTTGAATCATGATCATCCCAATCTCCAGCTCCACAGTAGCTGGAATTATAGGCATGAGCCACAGTACCCATCCTGATTCCAGATAGTCTTTAAATAGGAGCCAGCAACTTGGCAGATAATCCTGCTTCTTTGCTTTAAGAACATTAAGTCAACTTAAGAGTTAGCTCCTTCCTTGACTCTCACCTTAAGACACTTTAGTGCACAGCCCTAAACCAACAGACAGTATCTGTCTGTGGTATTAGGAAAAATCCTTTTGGGATAAATAAGGAATGAGATGAAGGGGGAAAAAAGGTGTTATTTCATTATAGGACATCTTAATTATTACTGGCTCTACATGGTCACCATGCTCATTGGAGCAAGAGCAATTCTCAATTTATCTTCAGAAACAAATCTGAAAATAAAAGAACAAAAGGGGAAATAAGAGCCATTCATAATAAAACTAACCACTGTTAACATTACAACAGAGTGGCTTCTAGTCTTTTTTGAAGAAAAACTTCCACGAACATTATAACATTATATTGGAAGAATTAAAGCAAAAGACAAAGCTGTACATTTGGTGGGTGGGGGAACTAGGGGCTTCATGCTTACAAAGTAGGCAGTCTACCTTGAGCCACACCTCCAGTCCATTTTGTTCTGGTTATTTTGGAGATAGGGTCTTGAGATCTACTTGCCTGAGCAGGCCTCAAACTGAGAACCTCCTGATCTCACCCTCCCAGTAGCTAGGATTACAGTCATGAGCCACCAGTGCTTGGCCAAAGCTGAACATTTAAACTTACCCCAAGTTCTATCACCCACAATAACCTTCACTAATGGAGATGAACAGAACTGCAAACTTCTACGCATATAGCAAGAAAACTGATAAATAAAACACTCATATAAAAAGTTTATACTGTTATAAAATAAATAGCATGGAATTTTGCTTTTTTATTGAGTTTAACAGAAGAAAAAGAAACTGAAGTGAACTAAGAATTACTGAACTTTAAATATAAATGTCTGCTTAACACAAGAAATATTTCCCAAAAGATCCCATGAAGGTTATGGATAGAGATGACGAACAGTAAACAAGCAGATTAGAGTCATTATGTGTTTTAAGTTTGGGGTTTTGACAGCACTGATGTGACTCCCTGATGCTACTTCTGGCTTATTTCCAGTTTATTTCTGATTATTCCCTCGTTCAAGTTTACAACATTCACCTTCTGTTCTGCAGCTGCAATTCCTACTCTTGCTTTGTATCACCTGTACATTTAAACTAATCACAAGTCATCTTATCATGACTTCTTCATCCCCAAGTTCCCTGCCACATTTCATCAATTCTAAGGTACCTGTGTTTTCCTTTTAACATCTATGAAGTCAGGATCCATCTTGCAAAAGAAAATCTGAGAAAAGCAAAACAAAACAACACAATCATAGTGCTGGGATGTGACTCAGGGGAAAAACAATAATGGATCTTCAAAGTACCTGGGAAAGATTTATTGTCTTCATTTACATTTTAAATGTCTCACCCTAAAAAGACAGCAGCTGAATGGATGGAACCTATAAAGTCTGTGAAGTCAGGATATAACACAAATGTCTTCACACATTGAAACCCAAAAGAGGTCAACTTAATTCAGAAGCCAGAAGCAGAAATTACTTCAGGGAAAATGGTAATTCTTATCTCAAGGTGTGCTTGCCCAGGTGTGTCAAAAGGCCATCAGCATCATAATTTTGGGATGACATCCTGTGGCCCAGAGACCCAGTAAATCAGAATTTTTTGTTGGCGGGCCCCAGTGATCTGATTTTTTTTTCCCAAAAGCTAAGCCTAAGATAATTCTTAAGCACTGTGAAATTTGAGCCTCGCCATGTTGAAAATGGAATAACTATAGTTTTTGCTACCCCAAAACAGCACTCTACTTTCTTTTCCCAGTTGTGGTGCATATGAGTTCTGTCATCTTTTTTATCCCATTCTGCTGGTCACAGCTAACTGAGCTGGTGAAAAAGATCAGTCTCCATATGGGGCAATCAAAACCTTTCCTGGAATTTTTAACAGTTCTGGGAATCAAACCCAGGGCCGATGTTCCACCACTGAGCTACATGCCTAGACCTTTCCTCTGAAATTTTTAACTTGGGATATTAATTTTAAACTGTCTCTAGAAGTAAAGCTAAAAATACAAGCCTGAAGGCTGCTGGCAGCTGTGTAGAGGAGCCCACTTAACAGCCTGAAGCCAGCAGGTAAAGAGAGAGAGATGGAGGGAAATGACCTATTTTCCATCTCTGGTTCCAGCTATCTCCATGGCTCAGTTGTGTCATCCTTGTAAATGAATTATGTAACTTGATTAATATCCATTTTTAAAAATTTTTGCTAGAGTTCGTTTGAGTAGGATTTCTCTCAGTTATATCCTCTGACTCACTGTGGAACAACCATCTTTTCCAAAAAAAATTTCAGAAAGAAACAGAATAGCCTTTAGAATAAACCACAGTTGTGTGGCATAATATGGTAATTTAGATTTCTTAAGACAAATAAACCAGCACCCTTACAAAGACTCAAAACAAAGCTGCCTTAAACAGGATGTCTATCGTATCACTGCTGAAATCCTTTGCTCTGAAGTAGGAAACCAAAGAGGAAATCAAGAAAGAAATGTGGATTTCAAATGAAGAGCTTCACACATTTCATAGTCCAGGCTGCAATTTTCATTCTTAAAGGAGAACTTGCAGAAATACCTTCTGCTGCTGCCAGCTGGAAATGGTGATGGAAGAGCGTTACATAGACCTTTCCCACTTACTTGAGTCACTTTAATCATAGAAAGGCATATCTGAACTTGACCAGCCCTATGCATAATCAGCATTCTGCTATCGATATACTTCACTTTTGTCTATCTCCCTGAATACTGCTCTCACATTCTTTTGTTTTGTTTTGTTGGGGGGTTGCCCTCATGTTCTAACCTGACAAGCTTCCTCTTTAGAAGTATCTGTTCTATGTATAATAAGTATTTATCAAGCACCTACTAGATATAAGCATTATACCAGGCATTTGGAAAAAACTTGTCTGAACAGTCCCTTCTTGAAGGCATGTATAATTTAGCAGGAGACATTAAACATACACAGACAATAACACAAGGCAATTTGGTAGCAGTTACTACAAATAGCATAGAGAATTTAACAGTTCTGTCATTTGCAAAACAATCCTGACTGATAAGAAGGGTGTTCAGAGGCCTCAGGGAACAGGAGCACCTCATTCTTACAAGTTGTCAGGAGCAAATGAGGCCAGTGCAGGAGAGTGAAGAGGTAAAGGAAGAGAGCAGGCAACAGGCAGGCAGGGGCCAGCAGAGCCTGCCCCTGAAATCCTATGCTTAGGGAGAGTGCTGTCCACCCCAATCCTATTCTTTGGCAGCATTATTGCTGCTGATTTAATCCTCTCTTCCCATGCTCAATCCACTCTTAATTCACCTCCAATTAAATTCCCACTTATACCCAACTCCATTGTTCCCAGCTCATTTTTGCTGGATTCCAATAGGCTATACATAAAGATTACAAACCAGTAAGGAAAGTTCTCTGGTAGATATTTTCCAGAAAATATTTCTGTTTTTTAGAAAGAATATTTTTAAATATTCTAAAAACACACTTACTGATAGGACCTGCTTATATGGAACACGTTTCCTGAAAAGCTCTATCTGGGAGTTAGGCTTTGTGCTGATTGATTGGCACTGCTGATCCTACACCTAACACTAGGCCTGGGGAGTGCAGGTGTGTGGGAAGGCCACAATTGCCGCACACCTGTCAAGGCCTCTTAGCCCCATCTTTCCCATTTATCTTCACAAGCGCATTCATGCAAAAACAGACCATTTTAGAAGGAGTTCTGAATTCTGTGTGATTTACAATATACTCACTTTGTGACTCCATAGTCAATTCCAATTGTTGCAAGGTATTTAGACACGAATCTTTTCTCACAGTACCGCTTTATAATACAGCTCTAAAGGGGTAAAAAGACATGCATTCAGGAAATTTGCATTGGGAAGACATACAAAATAGACACATCTGCTCATTATGGTTTCTTCATCCACTGCTATGAAAAGCAAGTGTTTTAAAAAACCAAAACTATAAAATAACTGAAACAAGAACCAAAGGCAAAGATTTTAAAGAAAAAAAAATTATTTTGGTGGTACTAGCATTTGAACTCAGAGCTTTGTGCAGATGCTCTACCACTAGAGCCATGTCTTTGCTTATGTTCTGGCTATTTTGGAGATAGGGTCTCTCTTTGCTTATTTGCTCAGGCCGCCTGGACAGTGATCCTTCTATTTTATACTTCCTGCAGTCAGAAATGCCAGGGGCACACCACCATGCCAGCTTTTTTCCATTGAGATGGGGGTCTCATAAACTTTTTTGCTTGGGCTGCCCTTGAACTGTGATCCTCACACATCCCTAAGCAGCCTCCCAAAGACCTAGGATTGCAAGCATGTGCTATCAGCACCTGGCAGAAAGTGTATTTTAAAATTCTTGCCTTAATACTAAATAGGGGTATGTTCTCAGCTTTGTTCTCAATATTTGTGCTCTCTTCTTTTAGAGGCCTTTTCTATTCTTATACTTTCAACAATACTCCTAAAGTACATCCAGCCTGACATCCCTCCAGGACCAGATCCGCATCCCCAAATGTCTATTAGACGAGGTCTGCTTAGATGTCCTGTGGTCACCTGAACTCAACACATCCCCAAGCAAGCGAGTTAGTCTCACAGACGAAGAAATTTATTCTGCTGACAGCTTAGCTCTGGTAGTATTAAAGTCACAGTTGATTCTGGGCCATTCTAAACCTCACTTGGAGTGTGTCTTCCATCTTTCTTTTCATTCCAACCCCATTGATAACACATTGGTTAAAATCCTCATCATTTACTCTCAAACAACTACAGAAAATTCTCTTTAGGGGAGCAGAGAGCAGTACTGGGGTTTGAATTCAGGGTCTTGCATTTGCAAGGTGGGCTCCCTATCACTGAAGTCATGCCCCCAACACCAGATATAGTCTCCTGGTGTTTCCCTGGGGCCAGCCAGGATATTGATCCTCTTACCTATGCCTCCGACATAGCTTGGACCACAGATGTATACCACCACACCCAGCTTATTAATTAAGATGGGGGTCTCGCTAACTTTTTTACCCAAGCTGGCCTCAAACTGCAATCCTCCTGATTTCTGCCTTCTCAGTAGTTGGGATTATAGTTGTAAACCACCATACTCAGCAGGAAATTCTTTATTGGTCTCTTTGCCTCAATCAATGCTGCATACCACTAACATTATCTCACTTACCTCACTCAAAAATCTTCAGTGGCTTCCCATTGTGAAGGGTTTGAAATCCAAATTCTCTGTTCTTTATCCAAGGTCCTCCATAATCTAGCCCTAATCTGACTTCTTTGTTTAGACCTTCTGCATAAATTCCTTATTTCCCCAAAACTCCCAAGACCAGACTTCTTACTTTTATTATTACTTTTCCCTCAACTTGGGATGAGCTTTCTCCCTTCTTTCCAAATGTCACTTACCCTTTAAAGCCAAGACCTAATTCTGAGCACCCAGGTTATAACTGTCTTTCTTACAACTGCACTCTTCTTTGTGTGTGCACAATGCACTTAAACTCCTCCAGCAATTTACTCACATCCTGTTACATATGCTATACACATGTGCACAGGCACACTGCCTCGTATTGTTACTTGTCTTTTCACATGTGCGCATTCACTCTCTCTTCAGCTAGACAATGAATCAGTTGAGGGCAAGCATCACCTTTTACTTCCTTTTATCTTTTGCAGCAACTAGCTCAGTGACTTTCCCACCATGTGGGTTTGATAATCATTGAATGAATAAACGTAAGTATCAATCATATTAGAACTTGGACTATTTCTGATGATGAATGGTAGTAAAAATTAACTTTAAATGACTTGTATATTAATAATAATTCTTAACACTGATAAAACTTGTAATGTATTGGAAGTGCTGGTAATAGAGGTTATTCTACTCAAACTCTTTCCTGAGCCTCAGTCTAAATTAAATAGATAAGACAGTTAATTTTAAAAGTATTTAATAAGCTTATTGTGAAGCTAAGGAAAAACTTTTTTAAGTCCTAGGGGATCAAACCCAGGGCCTCACAAATGCTAGGCAAACACTCTACCACAGAGCTACACCCCATGCACACAGACTACACTTTTAAAAATACTTTATAGCTTGAAAGTACTTCTCAAATTTCTCTCATGAAACCCTAGAAAAATAAATATATCCTTTAGAAGTTATTCATGGCATTAAGAGATCAGGAAACCCTCTAACTCTGGCCCACTAACTAAACTGTTTATAGAGATACCCATTTAAGTAACAGTATTAATAACCATTTCCCAGGGAGACAGAGTTCCTGTTCTCAGGATCTCACAAGCCCAGTTTAATAACATAAATACAGAGGGAACAGATAAAAGTAAATGAATGCAAAGTAAACCAACTTAATAGTAACTGTGCAAGTAAACTGATTTACTTAAGTCCCCCAAATATAAGTGACTGCTAGTGAATGTTGGTAATTCAAATGTTAGAACTAAGCATATGGAATTAGTTCACAAAATAAAACCATAAGATAAGAACAAGCTGAGAACAGTAATTTTAGCTCTTGGATTAAAAACAAGATTGCCTTTTTCTTAAACTTTACAAAAATCATATATTCACTGCCAGGCACCAGAGGCTCATGTCTGCAATCCTAGCTACTCAGGAGGCAGAGATCAGAAGGATCTCGGTTTGAAGCCAGCCTGGGCAAATAGTTCTACAAATAATTCTATCTTGAAAAAAAACCCTTCACAAAAATAGGGCTGGTGGAGTGGCTCAAGATGAAGGCCCTGAGTTCAAGTCTCAGTACCGCAAAAAACTTACTAGATGACTAGTGAGTTTGTAACCTGTGCTGGACACTGTGATATGAAAGCAGGGTCAAGTCACTGCCTTCAAGGAGCTTACAATTAATTGGATAAGGGAAGTGGTAAATAATTATATAAGTAAGCTTTAAATTATAGTCATGGTAAGTGCTGTAAAAATTATGGGATGTCATGAGATAACGTAATGAGAACCTAACATTTTACTTTTCAATATACTAAAAATGGTACTTTAACTGAGGTTAAAAACACATCCCGTTCCACATAAAAACTTGTAATATAAATTTGAATGTTTATATTATCATTATCCACAGTAGCCGAAAGTGAGAACAACCTGATTGGATAAGTGTTATATCCAAACAAGGAACTATTTCTCTGTAATATGAAGAAGGAAATACTGATACGTGGGACAACATAGGTTAACTTCCTAACTATTCTATGTGAGAAAAGCCTGCCATAATGGATCATATGGTGTATGATTCCATTTATATTAAATATCTAGAACAAATCCAGAGAGGCAGGAAGTAAATTAGTTGTTGGGGGTAATGGGAGAGATAGTTAATTGCTGTGAACAATGATGGGGTATGATGAAAATATTCTATAATGGTTGAGGTAATGGCTGCATATTTCTATGAGTGTACTAAAAGTCAGTGAAATGTGTCCTTTAAATAAGTGAGTAGTATGTGAATTTCTCGATAAAGCTTTTTAAAAACATACTTTTTAAAATTTATTTAATCCTCTCCATGGAGGAGATGAGGTTTCCCCGTGAAGTCTGTTTATATGCTGCATTGGCAGGCCACTCATCCTAGAGCCAAGGTCATCTCCAGGTCTCCCAGGATCCACAGTTCCCAATATATTCATTTGTCCTTGACCTCATGCCTCTTTTGCCATTCCATATTAATTCTGAGATAATACATTCAGAAATGTAGCCACAATAATTACAGCTGTATTCAACCTATTAACAGGCTTTTCAAAACTTCCCAAATTTTACCTGAATAGAAAACAGAAGTTGGGCACCAGAGGCTCACACCTGTGATCCTAGCTACTTTAGGAGGCAGAGATCAGGAGGATTTCGGTTCAAGGCCAACTTGGGCAAATAGTTCGAGAGACTATCTCGAAAACTCCCAACACAAAAAGGGCTGGGAGAGTGGCTCAAGTGGTAGGGCACCTGCCTAGCAAGCATGAGGCCCCAGGTTAAGGGAGGGAGGGAGGTACTTAGGCCAGGTACAGTTTCTCAAGCCTGTAATACTAGCTACTTGGGAGGTCTCAGCCCCTGGAGTAGCTGGAATTATAGGCACAGATCCCCATGCCCAGTCACCTTTGTCATTTTTAAAATCCTTACATAATAGGATGTATTTCTGGGCTCTATTCTGTTCTATTGATCTCTGTTTATTCTTACGCCAATGCAAAGCTTTCTTGTTTGGTCTTAGACTATATTATAATACTGTCTAGGCAAATTCCCCTCTTCTACTGTCCTAGCCCATTTTTCGTTCATGCTTTGACTAGATTTTCTCAGACAGCTATTCTTTCATATGAATTCTAAAATAATTCTACCTAAAGAAAGACTCCTTTAAAAAGAAGGGATGGGGGCATAGCCCAGTGGTAGTGCTTGTAGGAGGCCCTGAGTTCAATCTCATCACCAAATAAATAAATAAAGGGCTCAGACTTTATTTGGCACTGCATTAAATCTATTAATTTTACAAGAACTAGCATTATATTACTACAAAGAATCTGCTTTGTCTTTCCATCTGCTCAGATCCTGTATTATGCCCTTCAATTAGACTTTGGCTTTGTTCATGGAGGTACTGTACCTTTCTTGTTACAATTTATGGGTCACTATTATAAGTGGAATATCGTTTTTCATTTCCATTTTTAGCTGGAAGTGCCAAAACAATTTATTAACCTTTATGCATTTTTACATCATCTTGCCACACTCTCTAATTAATTAATGTAGGTTAAAGACTCTTTTGGGTAGTCTAGACATATAACATATAATCAGCAAAAGATCATTTTTATATCTGAATATTTATATTATCTCTTTTTTATTACAATTCTAGGACTTTTAAAAACAATGCTGAATAGTAAGGATGATAGCAGTATTTTTTTCTTTTTGGTATCTATTTACTATAAATGGCCCTAGTATTTTACCACTTGGCATGATATTTGCTGTTGGTCGATAATATTTTATTATAAATATTCCATATTTCATTTTATTCTGATTTTGCGTGTTTACCAGGATCAACTACTAGATTATGTGAAATGTTTTTACAGCACTGAAAGTATCATATAGCTTTTCTGTACTAATTTGTTGATGTAACAAATTATGTTCATTATGTTCTTGACAATGAACTATGTTTGCATACCTGGGATACCCCTTATTTGTTAATAGTGAATTCTTTTTGATGTATTGATGTATTCTATTTATTTTTCTTATTTACCTTTATTTGAATTCTATTTATTGATACTTAGAAATACTGCATTTCATATATATGTGAAATTGGCATATACTTGTCTTTAATATTAAGCTTTAATACTTAACTTACCATAACCTCGAATAATGAATTGGAGTACTACTTATCTTTTTCTTGCCCTTGGAATAACTTAATTAAAATTATGTTTTTAAAGCTTAACGTTTATCCAAGAAACCATCTCATCTTGGTACTTTTTGAATGGTAAATTTTTAATAGCTTTTCTAATTCCTTTTGAAAAGAAACTGGATTTTCTACATCTTTATGGCTTAATTTTAGTAATTTATACTTTGCTAGGAAATCTTCCATTTCCTCCACGTTTTCTTTTCTTTTTTTGGGGGTGGGGCAGGACTGGAGTTTGAAATCAGAGCTTTATGCTTGCAAAGCAAGTGTTCTACTGCTTCAGCTCTACCTCCAGTCCATTTTGCTTTGGTTATTTTGGAGATGGGGAGGGTCTCAAGAACTATTTGTGCAGGCTGGCCTCAAACTGCAATCCTCCTGATCTCAGCCTTTCCAGTAGCTAGGATTACAGGTGTGAGCCACCGGTGCCCAGCTTCTTCCACATTTTTAAATGTATTTTAAATATGTACTATCCTCTAATAATTCTTTTAATCTCTTCCAATGTGTGATTTGTCTCCTTTTCAATATTAATCTTCTTTTTTTTTTTTTTTGCAGTTCTGGGGCTCAAACTCAGGGCTTCAAGCTAAGTAATCAGGAGCCCTACTGCTAAACCACATCCCAAGTCCAGTGTTTTTGTTTTCTCTGGTTTTCTTATAGAGATTTTCAGGAACTTTTCATTTTCAATAATCTTTCTAAATAATTCTTTTTCAGTTGACTCTGCCCTTTTTTTTTGAACTTAAATATCAAAGTTTCTTTCATTTTTTTTAATTGAGAGATAATTCACATACCATAAAGTTGACTTTTTTTTGTGTGGTACTGGGGCTTGAACTCAGGCCCTTGAGTCACTCCACTGGCCCTATTTTTTGTGAAGGGATTTTTCAAGATAGGAGATAGGTCTTGAGAAGTATTTGCCCAGGCTGGCTTTGAAACTCAATCCTCCTGATTACAGGCATGAGCCACTGGCACCCCACAGCTTAATTTTTTTTTTTGAGACAGGGTCTTACCATGTAGCCCAAGTTGTGATACCATGCCTGGCTAAATTTTTTTTTTTTTTCAAAAAGTTAAATTTATTTGGAATTCAGAAATTCCAGATTGTATCACATCAGTTAATAACTGTGAATTCTCCATCTTTTTTTTTCCTTTAAATCTCATTTTTAGAATTTTTTTTGCATTTTTATTTTTTGGCAGTACTAGGGTTTGAACTCAGGGCCTTATACTTGCTAGGTAGGCACTCTACCACTTGAGCCACTCCACCAGTCCCCTTAGAATTTTTTTTAAGTTCATGTAGAATTTACTTCATTTTTGGGGGGGTACTGAGGGTTGAACTCAGGGCCTTGAGCTTGCTAGGCACGGGCTCTGCCACTTGAGCCACGCCTCCAGCCCTTAGAATTTATTTTTTAAAAGGAAGCCAGGCATGGTGGTACACAACTATAATCCCAGCACCCTATAATCTCAATGCTCAGGAGGCTGAGGCAAGAGCATCAAGAGTTCTAAACCAGCCTGGGGTATGAGAGAGAGAGAGAGAGAGACAGAGACAGAGACACAGAGAAAGAAAGAAATGTTGTAGGAAATAACAGCCAGTTGTTCAACATTACTTATTAATGTTCTCTACTGTCATCTGTTTATACTGGATTTACTGAATTTATTGTTTGGGTTTATTTCTGAGCTCTATTCTGTTCCACATAGTGTTAAAATTTCCTTTCCAATACCAACCGGAAAAGTTTGGTAATGTAAAATATTTTTGACTATCTGGTAGAGTTAGTCTCCTCTTATTTCTCTTTTCACTATTCTCTTTATGATTCTCACACTTGATTTTTCATAAGCACATTAGTAACTTAATTATGTTCTGAAAAAAACCTTACTAGTGTTTTAACTGGAATTGAATTTAAATTTGAATATTATTTTAAATAACTGACATTTCTACAATACTGAGGGCTATCTTTCCATTTGCCTAATTGAATGTCTTCTCTTCATAGAGTGTGAAATTTTTCTTCAGGCAGGTCCCTCCCTATTTCTTCTTAAGTTTAAACCTAGGCACTTTATTTTGGTTGCTATTATAAATTAAAATCATTTTTCAACTATATATTCCAAAGGTATACAATTTGCATATAATAAAGCTATTAATTCATGAATATAATTTGGCATTATTAAATGTTCTTATTGTTTCTAATAGTTTTTCAGTTAATTCTCTGAGTCTCCAATTTATCTTCACCTTTTAAATATTTTCCTTCTCTTGTCTAATTGCATTGGCTAATAAATCCAAAACAATGTTAAATGCATGTGGTGCACTGGCATTTTGTGATGCTTCTAACTTTGCACTGCCGGACACAGTGAAAATACAGTATGTACTCAGTTCAGTATGTAACCTAGAGGCTTTTTCTTTTCTCCTTCGTGCCTGCCACATAGCTGACATTCGGTAAACCCTGATTTCACCGAATGCCCTTTTGAGTCCTTATATAAACGTAAGTAGTACAGTATCTACTGAGAAACATTTACCGAGCTTCTGCTGTGAGCAAGGCACTGGCCTAAACACTCCCGTTAACAGCTGTTTTGCATTCAGATACCAGTCGGAGTTGATTTAAACACCAATCAGGTGTGGAAAGAGCGCTGCAGGTTCTAATCCTGCCATTGATTTTGATGACCTTGGGTGGCTCTCAACCAACAGCTTCCACTTACCCAGGAGAGATGACCTGGGTAGAGAGGAAGCAGTCTGAGAACTCGTCAGGTCACTTCTGGCTTTCCCTGCCCATTCTAAGGGAGAGGGTACACTTGATACCCGGGAGATGGAGCAGAGATTAAGGCGGTGGTTGTGGTCACGCTACCAGAAAGTGAAAAACAAAAACAAACCCGCAGGACCCCCGCCAGACTGTTCAATTAAGCGGGTAGAGTCCAGGCTGCCCAGCAACACGTTCTTAATCCTTGTCCCCACACGCACCCCGTTAGGTTCCATAGGCTCCCAAACACTGCGAGGGGAACTCAACTTTCATTCTCCAGGTCCAAGACCTAGAACGCAGAACTGGCGTCTGTGCACGTGACCCGACCTCAGCATCTAAGCCTCCTTACTCTCGTTGGGGTGTACTCAAGGGTCAGAGGCCATCCACACACCTTCCTAGGAAGACTGACGTCGGTACAGGGGGAGGGCAACGCAAAGGTCAAAGAGGTCAGGCAAATTTTCCTCGCGGGGCCGCATCCCCTCGCCTAGCGCAGGGCCTGCTCGAGGGCGGGAAGGAGGCTGGGCTCCGGCCTGTTGAGTGGCTGCCCACTCAGCCAATGAACTCGTCGCTCTGCCGCGCGGAGGTCCCGCCCCTGCCGGCGGGCTGTACTCACTTTCCCCACTTCGGCGTTGCCCATAGAGATGACTTTGATGCGGAGAGACTTGCCAGGCTCCTTCCGCTTCGGCATGTTGGCTTCCATTGCTCTCTCGGGGCCACCCGCCTCAGTGTCCTTGTGCACCAAACTAGCCCGTCCCTCAGGACTCCTCGCCCAATAGCGGAGCCGCTGCTCTCGTCACAGCCCGGGCTCCGCGGCTCGCCATCTCCGCCGCTGCCTTGACAGCGAGCGCGGGCGGTTGGGAGGTAGGGTGTCGGGGGAGGGAGAAGGAAATCTCGCGATGCTAGCGCGCGGCGGCTGACGTCATCGCGGTCCCACAGAGACGCGGCTTCAGTTACATGGTCTCTGGCGTACGTCGAGCGAGCGCGGCCAGGTCCCTTGACGAGAAGGCGGCGTTGGGCGGTGGCTGGGTTTACGTTGTGGGGAGCGCGGCCTTGTTTTATAGGCACCTGGACGGGAGGCCTTTGTTGTGTTCACAGGAGTAGAAACGTTTGGCTGTTGAGGGCGGTTCCTTCGGGTCTGAGGGTGTTAGGAATTACGTTAGTTCAAGACCCGGCCATGCCAAAAATTCCAAGTAAACCACGGTTTATTTTCGGGTGGTTTTTTTTCTGGGTTCTTCGATCCGTGAGCCCCCGTGCTGTCCCCCTCTCCATCAGTAGAGTGGGTCCTCGGTTTCCGCGGGAGATATCGCGCATGCGCAAGTCCCTTCTCTAAAATGGCATAATTGCGTGTTACCTGTACACACCCTCAGGCGTACTTTAAATCCCCTCTAGATTACCTTTACCTAATAGAATGTAAATAGTTGTTACATTGTAGGGGATAATGACAAAAAGTCTACATGTTTAGTAGAACTATTACCTCCCTCCAGTATCTTTGAAGGACTGTTAGTTGAGTCCAAACAGGAAATTTACAGATGAGAAAGGCCAACTGTACGGTTTCCCTTGCTCAAAGTTAAGCTCCCTGAGAGGCAGGGTCGGGATCGGGGAAGTGGGGGAGTCAGACCCTGGTTCTGGAAGAGGGCCTTAGGCAAGACAGAGCTGTGAATCTGGCTCTTAAGGGTTTTTTCAAATTATTTTTATTTTTAAATGGAATTGTTCATTGGATCAAGGTGAAATTTTAGTTTTTTGCACCTCGCATAGATCTAATGGTTTGGGGATTAGTTGACTCATCTGCAGGATGAAAGCTCAGACTAAGTGTTTATTGTGTTCTTCAGCTCCTGTCAAGGTGTAGGATTGCAGCTGTAAACTGTTCCTGTTCCTCCTCTGCCTGCCGCATTTGGTTCTCCCCTTCCTCTTAGCTGACAAGGTAAGGTAAAAGAATAAGTTCTAAGATAACCACAGTTTTCTTTCCAGGAGATGAGAAAAGCAGCCATTTGAATAAAAGTTAGTCTGACAAGAAACAGTAATAGTTTGAGTAAATATTTTCAATTACATAAGATAAATAGAACTTGACAAATTATTTAGTGCCCTACAAAAGCATAACTGCCAATTTCCCAGCAAATTGCAAAGCTAAAGGTAACATTGCTTCTGGTCTCACAAAGCTTTACACATTTTAAAAGAAATACATACTGGGTGCTGGTGTATTCCTAGCTACTGCCAGTAATCCTAGCTACTCAGGAGGCAGACATCAGGAGGATCAAGGTTCTAGGCCAGATAAGGCAAAAAAGCAAGACCCTATCTTAAAAATATCCAAGACAAAAAAGGGTTGGTGGAGTGGCTCAAGTGGTAGAGTGCCTGCCTGGCAAGCGTGAGGACCTCTTAAGTTCAAACCCCAGTAGTGCCAAAAGATTTTTTTAAAAAATACATTGCAGAAAGACAATGAATAAAGGCTGAAAATGTCATAATTGTTTTATGCCAGATTTTCAAAAACTTTGATTTTTAAAAACATTAAATACTTTTAAATGATAACAATGCTAATAAAAACCTGCTCTTTCCATTCCTAGAACAGCCATGGCTCGTGGTCCTAAGAAGCATCTGAAGCGGGTAGCAGCTCCCAAGCATTGGATGCTGGATAAATTGACTGGTGTGTTTGCTCCTCGTCCATCTACTGGCCCCCACAAGCTGAGAGAATGTCTGCCTCTCATCATTTTCCTAAGGAACAGACTTAAGTATGCTCTGACAGGAGATGAAGTAAAGAAGATCTGCATGCAGCGCTTCATTAAGATTGATGGCAAAGTCAGAACTGATGTAACCTACCCTGCTGGGTTTATGGATGTCATCAGCATTGACAAGACAGGAGAGAATTTCCGTCTGATCTATGACACCAAGGGTCGCTTTGCTATTCATCGTATTACACCTCAGGAGGCCAAGTACAAGTTGTGCAAAGTGAGAAAGATTTTGGTGGGCACAAAAGGAATCCCTCATCTGGTGACCCATGATGCTCGTACCATTCGCTACCCTGATCCCCTCATCAAGGTGAATGACACCATTCAGATTGATTTGGAGACTGGCAAGATAACTGATTTCATCAAGTTTGACACTGGTAACCTGTGTATGGTGACTGGTGGTGCTAACTTGGGAAGAATTGGTATGATCACCAACAGGGAGAGACACCCTGGCTCTTTTGATGTGGTTCATGTGAAAGATGCTAATGGCAATAGCTTTGCCACTCGGCTCTCCAACATTTTTGTTATTGGCAAAGGCAACAAACCTTGGATTTCTCTTCCTCGAGGAAAAGGAATCCGCCTCACCATTGCTGAAGAGAGAGACAAGAGGCTGGCAGCTAAACAGAGCAGTGGGTGAGCGCCTGCCTAACAAGCACAAGGCCCTGAGTTCAAACCCCACAACCCCCAAAAAACAGAGTAGTGGACAAAATAGTCTCTAGGTGACATGTTGGAGAAGAGAATCTTTGTACTTTAAGACAATAAAGCATTATTGATTGCTAAACTGTTAATTGCTGGATTGTTTTCATGATAGACAAATAATTTAATGAAATGTCTAAACTTCTTTACAAATAGGAAATTTAAGTCCTGGTGAGAATTTTGATGGTTTAAAGCATAAAAGAATGATTCTTCACAAATCCAAGATATCTCTGTTATTTAATAAATCGCTAAACCTTTAATTTTTTGCTAGTTCACCTTTGGCCCCAGAAGAATAAATACAAAATGTCGAATCATAGAGACTGACTTAGGTATGATAACTATTTCGTCTAAGAATAGTAAGCCAGGGATAGGCACACACTTTTAGTCCAAGCTACTCAAGAGGCTGAGGTAGGAAGATTCCCTGAAGCCAGGAGTTCAGGGCTGGTCTGGGCAAAGTAGGAAAACCTTATATCAAAAAAAAAAAAAATTGGTAAAAGATACCAACGATTAAAATTTATTACTATTTTTTCATACTGACATTTTTGATCTATTAATGTAGCCACACTTTCTGTATGTATTCAGTTAACGTGGCATTAAAAAGGCAAGAAAGTTGGCCCTCTTCCAATCTTTGAATGTAAAAAGAAGAAAGAGTAGCTATTTGTAGTATGGACCTGGAAGGTCCAGTAAGAGCATTATTTCTGGAGTCAGCTTTGTTACATTTTATAGTGGCATAACAGGGCATGTGGTGGTGCTAAGGACAAGATAGTTACTTGGGAGGCAGAAATGGGAAGGACCACAGTTAAAAGGCCAGCCTGAGCAAAAAGTTAGCAAGACCCCCCCCCCATCTCAACTAACAAGCTGGGAGTTGTGACCCATGTTTGTGGTCCAGCTACTCAGGAGGCATAGGCAGGAGGTCCAAGGCCAGCCCTGAGCAAAAATGAGAACCCCTATCTGAAAAATAAAAAGAGCTGGGAGTGTGACTCAAGTGATAGAACAGCTGCCTAGCAATCAAGAAGTCCTGAGCCTAAATCCCCATACCATGAAAAAAAAAGATTGGAGGAGAAGTACATTCATAGCTTGGAATCCTCAGGGGATTAGATTCCAGAACTACTTGTGGATACCCAAATCTGTGGATGCTAAAGTTCCTTACATAAAATGGCAAAGCATTTGCATATAACTTACACACCTCCTCCCATGTACTTTAACACACCTCTAGATCGTTATTTTTGGTGATACCAGAATTTGAAGTCAAGGCCTTGCAGTTGGTAGGAGAGCACTCTCCCTCTGGAGCCACACTTCTACCACCTTTAGATTATTTGTAATAACAAATACAATGTAAATGCTATGCAAATAGTTGTTAATATTGTTTAGGGAATAAAGAAGAAAAACATCTATGCATCTTCAGTACAGATGCAATTTTTTCCTCAAATATTTCTATGTGGATGGTTGAATCCATGGATATGGAACCCACAGATACAGAGGGCCAATTGTACACAGTAATCTCCCGATAAACAGCAGCTATATGCTTTTAAGTATATTATTAGGTTTTTTTTATATATTAAGAATGATTCTTCATATTTTAAATACATGTTTTTAAGTAAATTATGAAATATTTTGGACATACTTAACAGTATTAAAAATAATAATGAATACCCATGAATCCACCACCCAGCTTAAGAAATAAAACATCACTGTGACCTTCCCTAATACATCCCCCCCTTCTCTAAAAAAGGTTGCAGCCATCTGCATTAATATTTTCAATGTCCAGGCATTTAAATTTATTTAAATGCACATGGCTTAAATCTTAGTGTTGAATTTCATCTTGAAAAATTATTTTAAAATAATTACCCGCAGAAAAGGCATAAGAACAGTACAAAAATAAATCTTGTATACCCTTCCAGATTCATCAATTGTTAATAACTTGCCCCATTTACTTTATCAGTTGTTCTCACACTCTATCTGCATGTATATGCACACACATTTTTTTCTAAACCATTTGCCATTAATTTGCAGACACTTTTTTTTTCATTTTTCTTTTATTATTCATATGTGCATACAAGGCTTGGTTCATTTCTCCCCCTGCCCCCACCACCTCCCTTACCACCCACTCCACCCCTCCCGCTCCCCCCCTCAATACCAGCAGAAACTATTTTGCCCTTATCTCTAATTTTGTTGTAGAGAGAGTATAAGCAATAATAGGAAGGAACAAGGGGTTTTGCTGGTTGAGATAAGGATAGCTATACAGGGCATTGACTCACATTGATTTCCTGTGCGTGGGTGTTACCTTCTAGGTTAATTCTTTTTGATCTAACCTTTTCTCTAGTACCTGTTCCCCTTTTCCTATTGGCCTCAGTTGCTTTAAGGTATCTGCTTTAGTTTCTCTGCGTTAAGGGCAACAAATGCTAGCTAGTTTTTTAGGTGTCTTACCTATCCTCAACCCTCCCTTGTGTGCTCTCGCTTTTATCATGTGCTCATAGTCCAATCCCCTTGTTGTGTTTGCCCTTGATCTAATGTCCACATATGAGGGAGAACATACGATTTTTGGTCTTTTGAGCCAGGCTAACCTCACTCAGAATGATGTTCTCCAATTCCATCCATTTACCAGCGAATGATAACATTTCGTTCTTCTTCATGGCTGCATAAAATTCCATTGTGTATAGATACCACATTTTCTTAATCCATTCGTCAGTGGTGGGGCATCTTGGCTGTTTCCATAACTTGGCTATTGTGAATAGTGCTGCAATAAACATGGATGGCAGACACGTTTCTTTATCCATAAATATTTCAATGTGTACTTCTTAAAAGCAGGGACTTTCTCCTACATAGCAACAGTATATTTATCAAGATTGAGTAATCCAGTGTTTAAACAGCACAATTAATTATACCCCACGGCACCATAATGAACTCACAAGACAATGCCTGTGGGACTTTAAATTTTCTTTGGTTTTTTTTTGATTGGTTGGTTGGTTGGTTTGGTTTTCATGGTAGTGCCGGGGTTTGAACTCTGGGCCTTCTACCACTTGAGCCATGCTCCAGTGGTAAATGAAATGAATGGACTGCATAACTACTAGGTTGATGTTGTTTACAGTTGTAACAATAGATGGCGCCATATTCCTTGTATATGTCATATCTTCAGGAAACTGGGCTTTCCTATAGTTGTGATAAAAATCAATATGGAATAGGATATAAGAGTGGCCTTGCCCAATATGATCCCAAAGGTTTGGGAAGTACAGTGCCCAACAGGTACATGCATTCCATTAAGTAATTGCTAATTAAGAATGAAAAATATTTTGCTTTCAATTTACATGTATTAGCTTTTTAAATGGCTACTAAATTATTAGGGTATAAATAATAAGTTTTTTTGAACCTAGATATTTCTTTTGGCCAGGGGGCAATGTGAAATAAAAGTTGAAACCTTAAAGTCAGTACAAAGAAAAGTAGGATAGTGAACTAATCCACAGTTCATACTGATTTCATCTTTTGTCCCTGTGATGTTCTTTACTGCTGTGTTTGGCTCAGTTCACTGGTCTGGGTCTAATCTAGATAATCATTCCATTGTCATGTAGCTTTAGTCTTCGTTAATCTGGAATGGTTCTTCAGTTTTTGACTTTCAAAATGACATTTTTAAAACATCCCTCTATTTGTTTGATATATTCTTTGTGTTGTTTTTGTTTACCGGGATTGAAGTCAGGGCCTAGAGTCTGCTAGGTAAACGGTCTACTTGAGCCACACCTGGACTTTGTGTGTGTGTGTGTGTGTGTGTGTGTGTGTGGTAGTGGGGTGTGAACTCGGCCTCAAGATTGCTACGCAGGTAGGCAGGCACTCTACCACGTGAGCCACGCACCTAGCCCATGTGCAGTATATTCTTGTACTTAGATTCGGTTATGTTTGGCTGGAATGCCACTGTAAAAGATGTTCCTCTTTTATGACATATGAGATAGTTGGGAAGACAATTTGTTCCATTTGTTAATGAAGCTAACTTTAGTTAGGTGTTTAAGGTGGTATTCACAAGGTTAATCCACAGTAAAGTGACTTTTTCATGATAAACAATTCAAAATGAGATACTTGGAAATTTTATAGCTAACCTTCCTTCATTGAACTTTCACCAACAGATGTTTAGAATTCAATGGTGATCGTGGCTGAAGAGATTATTACTATGACCTATGCAAATTGATGATTTTCCTAACTCCATTACTTCACTTATATTTATTATTTTTCTACCATAAAGGAGAGTTTTCCTTTCTTATTTACTTATTTATATCAGTATGGCCTCATATTTGCTTATTTTACTTCACAAATATTCTATTGTTACTATTACTTATTTTGATGCTTAAGTTATCCCCTAGGTGCTTTATGATTCTGGGGATCAAACTCAGGGCCTCATCCCTGCTAGACAAGCACCCTCCCACTAAGATACACTTCCAGTCCTTCTATATCCTTTTGATATGTCTCCATCATTTTTTGAGCACTTTGTTACTTTCTGGCAGAGTAACAAGCCCTGTTTCCCTGGATCCTTTCCATGAGGAATGGTTTTTAGATCTAGGTGTTAGGTATACTGATTGGTACCAGCATGTCTTTGCTCTCAGCTATTTCAGTTGACTGGGAAAAAAAATATAGGGAAAAAAATATATACATGCATCTAAATCCATGTATTAGAACATATGTAGCCAAGCAAGGTGATCTATGCCTGTAATCCCAGCACTCTGAAGGCTGAGGCAGGAGGATTACAAGTTTGAGGCCAGCCTGGGCTACAGTCTTTTTCAAAAAAAGAAAAAGAGGGAAGGAAGGAAAAAAGGAAGGAAGGAAGAAAGGAAGAAGAAAGACAAATTTATCATACTGATAATCCCAATGCATTTTAGCATAACAGGGCTTTTTCTAGTTTTCCCCTTTTCCATAAGTATAACTCCCTTTATCAATAGTGAGAAACCTGGCTCTGTTATCCTCAATATATTTATTTATTTGCTCAGTCTTACAATACACAGGAAGCAGTTTCAGAACTGTTAACCCACATCATTTTTAAAAAATGAAAATCTTTGAACTAGAATTCAATATTTGTTTATCAC